CAATTTTATGCTGGATTAGCTATTCTACTAAGACAACCCATAACATGCTAGCTCGGACTTTTACATTTAGACTGTGTGGCTGGCATCGGATGGACAAAAAAGAAAAGAAAGGAAAAATTGGACAATAAAAAATATAGTTATTAGTATTCTTAACACTTCACCCTCAATGTGCACACTCCCTTCTAATAAACCGCTTTCCTTGTACCAACCTTGACTTCCCTTCCCTCATGTGAGCTTAGTCTAACTTGTTAAACATCACAACTCATTGTTCTTTATTACTACATTCTCTTATATGGAGCCTCTGAAAAGAGATAATATGAATTTAATCTAATTTATCATACCTCTGTTTGTTCTACTACACAATGTTAAGCAACGTTTGACGTTCATATCCAAGTGCCTTGCTGCTCTTCTGTTTCTCTTTTTTTTTTACTTCAGGATCTTGCTCTGAGGGTACAGCTATGGAACTTCTGACGTCTGGAACAAACTTGACGTACGTGTCTTCTCAACGTCATAGTTTACAGCAAGCGCTCTACGAGTGTACATGCTCATGCAGAAATATGTTAGTATTATATATAGCATATTGGATTTATGTTTAAGAGGAAGTTGCAGGAGTGCATAATTACGTCTCTATCACTTTTCGTATAAAAACATACTTTTTAAAGTCCAGCTAACACTCTGGACTATGAATAATAACTTATGGTTGAATGCACTAAAAAATATCAATTTACTGAATAAGTATAAAATTTATGGACGGAAGATATAGAAATGTGTGGCATTCGTACGAACTGATCATTCTTTTGTACTTGATTACCCGCTTATTTCGAATTCAAAATACAATACGTTCGTTTGAGTTCACCTAGTTCTGTCTGGCTTATATTGTAATAATGCAAGTGGACAACTGCGGACACTCATTCGATTGGAAAAGTGCGGAAATCTAAGACAGTGGAAGCTCCAAAAACACCAGGATATTGTTAGAAGCCTGGCATTCAGGTCAATCAGCAATCAACGAGCATATTGAAATCAATCCAATTTACCGACCAATCAGAAAAATCATGCACAAATATAGGGACAAAAATCAAACCAATGGGAGACACAACCAAAACAAAGAAGTAAACAATGACAAATTTAAGGTCAATAAGAACCAATCAACATCGAGGTGCACAGAACAAGATGTGAAACATATGGAGAAATTCGAACACTTCACTTCTATTTGAAGTTTGTGCTGATGATGTCGTTCAGAAGAACGATGAAAGCTACACGACCAAACCATCCACCTCAGAGAACAAAACTCCACCAAAATCATCTACCTGAGCTACAAATCTTCTCCACTATATTGTATTGTTCCGAGAATTCCTAGTAAATACAACAAATAGAATACTTCTAATCATCGTACTAGATTAAGGAAAGTAAACATTAAATCGCTTAGAGGATATACAGGGGACAACTGCCCTCATAATTAAAGAGTTGCATGACTTACCATTTAACCCTTGCAATTTATGTGATAGATGAACAAGAAGTGTTGCATACGATAATGAGAAATGTTTTTGGACCTAATCTATCCTCTTACTTTATTCCAACTAGATCAAGACAATAGAGAAAAAAACATTAGGTAAATCCCAAAGTAAAACGAATGAACCAAAAGTAAATCGAATTTTCTTTCCTGTTCATGAAGAAACAATATTTCGATAAAAACACAAAGCATTACCTTCCACATCACATGGAAAATTACAAACAAAATTATATAAGATTGATGCTAATTATTCGTATATGTTCTATTGTTAAGTGCAAAGTTTACAGTGGAATTAAAACAACATATATCTACATAAAAAAAAGTAAATTATACTAAATGCAAAACATTTTATACATTTGTGGGCATATAAATATATATATTATATCATTTGGAACTTTCTATATGTCCGTTAAAGGATCGTCAATTGATGTGTATGCAGGTAAACTCCATTGTATTAGCTATACAAGTTCTATAAACATAATCAATTGTGAACAAGAGACGTAATTTGTAAAATATAACAAACAAACAAACAATCATTTAATAATAATAATAATAATAATAATAACCAGTTGTCAACCAGTATATAAGTAGCAAAAAAGAAAACTACCAAGAAAAGGTTTACAATAACAAACAATTAGGTCAAAGAAAGGAAGTAATAATTGGAAATGAAACAATACCAACGACCATATTAGACACAATAGTAAAAGGAAGAAGATGGATGTTCAAAGTTGATATTGTTGAAATATAATAATAATAGTAATAATAATAATAATAATAACAGTAGTAATAGTAATAATTGTAAACGATTATTGAATGTAAACGTAATGGAAAATAGATATATTGACTTGATATAATTATTTACATGACGATTACACTATGAGCAGTGAAATACTCGTTAGCAAATATCGCAATGTATAATTATGCTGGATTATGTAATAATTCATACAATTTATTCATAGTTGATAATCTATTGAAGAAAAAAGAAAACAAGTTTGTAGAAATAAATAGGGTTATATAATACATTCGATTTACGATATTTATAGATTTAAAGTTTAGAATTAATGAAAAAAGGTGAAGTTGAGATACAGTTGTAGGTGGTACTGTTTGTGGATTGATATCGATTACTTAGTTACTTACGCCTATTCCTCCTCGTGGAGGAGAATAGGCCACTCACCAGCATTCTCCATCCAATCCTGTCCTGGGTAATCTTTTCCAGCTCTTTCCAATTGTTATTCATCCTTTAGTGGCCTATGGATCTGACTCCTATTTAAATCGTATGGATGTTTGCTATCGCCTATTCTCGTATATAATCGTCGACTTAAATCACGTTAGTCAATAACGGAATTAAATAAGTCAAATGGCGAGATTGACCTGTGCATACATATATTTTGTATATGAAGCGAATGAAACAAAGCAAAGCAAAATGACGCGCAGGGAAGATAGCTGGGAGGCCAACTCCATTTTAGTCAAGCGTTACTCAATATTTATAGTCAGACAAAATAAAGCTACAGACATGTGATTAATGGGATAAGAAGGGCACACACATATACGCCCATATAAAAACAGTTAAGACTAATAAGCGAATAATTGACAAGGTCAAAATATGACTCAAGCAGAATGAATAGAATGGAATGTCCGAAAGCTAGAATAAGGTATATGGGCTTAACATAATAACTGACACTACAATCCCTTTCATATCTGATTCTATTTCCTGACGTTATGTGTTCTTTGGCCTTCCTCTTCTCCGCCTCCCTTCAGGATTCCAAGTTAGGGCTTGACTCGTGTTGCAGTTTGGTGATTTGTGCAACGCATGTTTTATCCATTCCTATTGTCTTTTCCTAATTTCCTCTTCAAATGGAAACTGGTTTGCTCTCTCCCACAGAAGGCTGTTGCTGATGCTAACCGGTCAATGGATGATGAATATCTTGAGTAGACAGCTGTTTATAAATACTTGTACCTTCTTGATAATGGATGTATTAGTTCTAAAAGTTATTGACATCGATTAATGTACCATTAAAGACCAATAAGCGGTGTACAGTTATTTAATACCATCATGTAGTTTTTTTGGGATGAGAAACCATCACTAGACTAAGTAATCTTTCTGTGAACCCATATTTTTATCATGAACTGTGCGAAGTGAGGACTATTGTATTCCAACTCAGGGGTCAAAAGAAAATGCGTTAGTCTTTAGGATTGAACATAGTAGTTTTGACCCCCTGACAATATGGCTCATGAATCTGAACTATTGAAAAATTTATATAAAAAGATGAAATGGCTGTTTAACATTTACCAGTTTTCAATAGTATTGTGATGTATGCTACTTATGTCTGTTGACATAAGTAGTATTTAACACCAGTTAAAAGTTGAATGCCTGTCAAATGAAAGTTGAGGAGATTGCATTGAAGAAAACAGAAAGGAAAGCACGAAAGAATCAAGAAATGGAAGAATCATAAAGGATATAAAGGATAACTGATGGAATATTTACAAATGTAGTATTTAATATATGGTTTTTACATTTTATCAAAAAACCTCTGTGATTATGAATTAAACAATATACTGGTTTACCATACCCGAGTATTCGGTCACTACAATACCTCAACTGATATTAGTCCATTATATATATAATTTATACGTTAGAAATCGTAAAAATGCATCAACCAAGACTAATTACATTGTGATCTTACCTTTTTATAGTTTAATAACTTTTCAAAATAAAGTGACCAATAAATTATCATTCATGTACATATTATCTAAGTATGATTATTTAATTAAATTCACTTCGTATTTCTTTAGAAACTAATAAGTTTACTCGAATGGATTCAGTTCAGAAGGCCTAGGTGTTCATTCCACAAGAATCCAACCATGCTAAAGGTATTACTTATTGTAACTTGTTGTAAAGCTGAAGAGCAACTTAAATTTGGCAAGTGCAAAAGCAAACCATAAAAGTTATGTGAAATTTGAAGAATGTATTTATGTAATTTGGATTTAAGTTTCTCTATTAATTGTAAAGTAAATGAGGTAAACCAAAGTATGTGACGACTGCAATACAGTAGTTATTTCTTATCTCTTTAAAGCAGTTACCAGAATCAAAGATGAAAGTCATTCAAAAGTTACACTCCACAAGAAAATTTTAAAAATTAAAGATTCTAAGCTCACTGATGAAAACTTAAGGTCAGAGAGTAATGAAAATGAAAAGACAATCAAAAACTGAGATCTGTGGTGTCTGAATGAACTAATGATACCGTTGTACTTGTTGAACGCTTGATTTCGAATTCTAAATAAAGTACATTCGTTTGTGGTTATCTAGTACTTCTTGATCCGACTATGTTATTTCTGGGATTCTTAGTTTATTCTATAATTCAAATACTTCTGATTATCACAGATCACAAAATATTGAATGCCATTCTTAGAACAAAAAAATGTAAATTTTCAAAATTTCCCAAAAAGCCAACTGAGTGATACTTACACTTTGTGATCAATAAAATTTTATTCATGAATGGGTCGTAGACTGATTGATTTCGTTAGTATCAACATCGTAACTATCATTTTGTGATTCCGTTTCTTCTTTGTCAAAATCACGTACTATCAAAGTTTTCTGAGGTACATTTGTACAACTAGAATCTGGTATTTGATTACTGTTACAATTTAATGATATGGTAGATACTCCTATCATAGTCTGTTCATCAGTTGCACAAACTACTGATGATGCACTGGATTGTAATGATGATGATGATGATGACGAACGTGTCATTTTAGAATCATTTAATTCCAAAGGCTTTGGTTCTACTGCCTCAGATGATTGTGCAGGGGGCACTGAGTTTGATGGTTCCGGATGAATGAATGGTCTAGGAATATTGATAGTTGATAAAACTGGAGAATTAGAATCAGTATGTATGCTGAAGACCGAAGAGCCTTGTAATTGGTTACTTTGATTTGATAAACGACTCATAATGCTTTGACGTAAAGAACCAAATCGACTACGAAGCCAGTTGAAAAAGGCAGGTGGTGGATCACCTTGTGGTTTCGGAAATGGTTCTATCCATGAGACTGTTGATGAGTTCACAAACTGATCAGAATCAAGCTGTGAAGATTGTCGAGGTTGTTGTGTACATGGTTTAACAGGAGTTAAGTTTTTAAACGAGGTCTGATATTTACTTAATCTAGGATATTTATCAAAATCTTCATAGGCTGGAGGTGCTTCATCAATAACCCTAAATGAAAGAAATGCAAAAGGTATAAATGCACTATGAATTTTCAAACGAACTTAAGACCATCCTATAAAAATACACGATGTAGATAAGCTTAATCATCGAACAGAATAAATTATCTCGAACTTAACAGGTATATAACTTGCATAGTAAATTAACAGAACTATGGTTATGTGTGGCGAGTATCAAACAACACGAATCCTAGTTCATGTGGAGTTTCCTGCTGATTATTTACAACCCGTAAACATTGGAAAGAAGTGTAAACTTAGTGAAAACTAGAAAGTTTACATGGGAAAATCCTTTCATAATTCTAACAAGAAAATGTATAAGAAAGAAACCATAATGTAGGAGTAAAATGTAACAAAACTTGGATCCTAATTATGAATACACTGTTCTATACCCATTTAGATTGTATTATGAGCCAACAATAAGTAAGTTCTGTAATTTTATATTAAAATAACTTCTCATTATAGTTAGCTTAAACAATTAATTCCTCTGATAAATTTAGATAATGCAATAAGCAGATGAAGGTTATCAGATATATTTTCAATATATTCGTGAAATACATTTCAGTCAATCAATCAGTCAGCTGCAACGTAGAACCAAGCACATATATGCATCGCTCCAAGTTGCAACACCTCATTAACAAAACAAGGTGAACACCAAATTCATAGAAGTAGTCACTTCAACGGTAGTAATATATATAAGAAAGATTGTGCATAAGGATATAGTACATGAAGAAAGAATTAGTTCGTAGGAAGTAAGATATAAAGCCATTTTAATCCCACGGTTTGAGGGAAGACAAAGAGTATATACATCGACGCCATTGTGATCGATTCTGAGACATGTCACCCGAAGTCACTAAACACTGGTTACGGTAGTCTGCATCTACCAATATGGTTCAGACTAGAAGTTAGTGACTTCAAGGATTGATGCCACATTTCAGTTTGGCCGTCCCTAACTTTCTTTCAACCGTCTCTAACATCAAATAGCATTGCGGGTCGTGGTAATCGGTGTTCAAGCATACGTAACACGTGACCCAGCCATCTCAGTTGATGAAGATTTACAACCTTCATATCCATATGCTTGTTAAGACGTCTTATATGAAAAAAATCGAATGTTAACTAGACAAATTGGAATATAAAAGGAAATAAAGATAACAATATACTACACAATGTGAAAGCCAATCTAGATAAAAAGTTCGTATTACCATTCTGGATTGAATGCTAGAACAAACTGCTTTTGAATATATAAAGGGTATTTCAGTTTTCGTGAGGTTAAGGCTTCAATAAGCGTTTGTATACAGCTTTTAACAATTTTATATTACACAAAGAAGGTTGACTTCATATCAACACTACGACCCATCTCAACCAAATATTTTTCAATGAAGGAAAATATTTGTCTACTCTGTGATTTTATCAAATCAATGGAGTTCATTTGTTTGTGCAACCATTTAGGTATGTGTTCAAACACCCCTACTTGAGGATCACGATTCCTCCTCCATGTATAAGCGTTTCAGCACTTATACATAAAGTGACAAACACAATAAGATTTCAGTAGTTGAAATCATAAGTCAATTAAAGCTAAACTGCCATGGAAAGCCTGGAAACACTGGACAGCCGTTCCATCCTAGTATGGGACTCTTCAGCAGTGGGCATCTACGATCCCCCCTGCAGGATTCGAACCCAGGGCAATAAGATTTGACACAATCGTTTACATTCTTTAAAACCCCCATTATATGCGCGTAATCGTAATTATTCTAATTCTATCAATTCCATAGTATGTTCAATGACTTGTAATAAATAAAAATTAACTAATTAGTTTGATCATGAATCTGATCTCTAAATCATAAACTATCTACCATTCTTTATGTGTACAATAGAAAACTTAACCTGACTCGTTCTATATTCAATTTCATTAAGCTGAAACTATTCATTATAATATTTAAAATTGATTAAAAATATTAAACCGAAAATTCATTTTATTAACGAACAGTTAATTAAGAAATTAAAAACGTTTCAGATGGTACATTGTTTAGTATTTTCAACTACTTTTTAAATTATAGAATATATAAATTATTATAGGGTGTGCCATTTAAGTCATTCTCCTAAGGATATATTTTCTTTTCCTATTGTCATAGTAATTTCTCTTAAGTATATATAAACAAAAACTTTTCATTTCATTTTGTATTGTTTGTTTGAATCTTCTCATTGATATATTTAGGACTGCAATTAATCAGTCTCTTATGGGAATATGTACATCCTATGAGGATTGCCTTGATATTATCATAAGTCATCAGTATTATAAGCAAAGATAGATAGATAACAGCAACGGAATCCAAGACTCAGGTTTCGTCCTATTTGGGACTCATCAGTTGGCTGTTCATTACAGGACGCGATAGCGTTTGAAGCGAGTTTTATTAGGTTCGAGTCCCGGGTGAATATGAACCCTGGGCTGCAGGTACATTCAGCTGACAAGTTCCAACATAGGATTAAACGTGCTTCTAGTCACCATTCATATTCGCTTAAAGTGCTTTTCTATCTTATAAAGTGAAAATTTATATCTGAATGTTATTAGGGTGTATGATTGAATACAAAGATGAATAGAATGTTTATTGTTGTGTATAACACCCTAATTAGCATTATATATATATTTAAAAATGTGATCCAGTTACCAAAATCAGTCAAACAAATAATGACATTCTCGCTAGTAACTGATCTCCAGACAAGTTCCTAAATTCCTTGTGAGAAGTTAAGATTAGTTAAATCATTTCGGATCATTGTCCAATATTACAATTTTACTGACATTAAAAATACAAATATGTATATGAGCATCATAAACTCTATGAAAAATTAAGCAGTTAAGAAAAGTAGTCATAATTGCATAAATTTCATTCACCTGAAGCATACAGCAACTATCCTACAATCAATTTTGATCAGGGTTAATTTTGGTTAATCCCTTTTGTTAACAGAAAATGTGTTATTTCGACAGTAACAATTCACTTATATCTTTGTACCGTTATGATCACTAGATCATATGACAGACTAGCTAAAATGTTGACTGCTTAAGTATCGTTCGATGTTTCGTTCTCCTTCCCATGTATATATGTACTCAATTCCTATTATTAGTCCTTGTTTTGCCTTGCTGATCCTCATACAATTTGACTATAAATTTGCCTATGTAGTTGTTCATACATACTTATTCGCCTCTCCGCTTCAAATACGTTCGATGTGCTCATAGCTTTGTAATCTGCGCTATCTCTTAATAAACTGTATTTGGCGCTTCTCATTGCCTTCTGATATGAATCAACGTTAAGATTGATATTATAATGGTTATCGAGGTGATCGATTAAGAAATCAAAACCAATACAAGTATTTAAAAATAAAACTCCTTTTCTCTCTATAAAGAAATAACGCTTTCAGTCTAGATTTTATAAATGCCGGGAAATTTCTAGTTTAAGCGGGATAGTTTGATTTATTCGGTGACATTGCATGATTTTGAAATAAGCCAACCAAAATACTACTAATCTCAATAAGTCTAGATCTTCAACAAGACGCAAGCAAGAACTGGAATTTGAAATATACGGTATGAAATTGTATTGTGTTTTTATGTATGTACGCCTGTTACGCCTGATGCAGCATAGGCCGCCGACCAGCATTCTCCAACCCACTCTGTCCTGGGCCTTCTTTTCTAGTTCCATCCAATTCTTGTTCATTTTTCTCATGTCTATCTCCATTTCCCGGCGTAATGTGTTCTTTAGTTTTCCTCTTTTCCTTTGACATTGAGGATTACATGTGAGGGCTTGTCTTGTGACGCAGTTGGGTGCTTTCCTCAATGTGTGTTCTATCCACTTCCAGCACTTCTTCCTAATTTCTTCCTCCACTGGGATCTGGTTTGTTCTCTCCCATAGTAGGTTGTTGATAATAGTGTCCGGCCAACGGATCCGAAGTATTTTGCGTAGACAACTGTTAATAAACACCTGTATTTTCTGGATGATGGCTTTCATAGTTCTCCAGGTTTCCGCCCCATACAGTAGAACTGTCCTGACATTTGTATTGAAAATCCTGACCTTGATGTTGATTGACACTTGCCTTGAGTTCCAGATGTTCCTCAGTTGTAAATATACTGCTCTTGCTTTGCCGATCCGCGCCTTCACATCTGCATCCGACCCACCCTGTTCATCAATGATGCTGCCCAAATATGTAAAGGTTTTTACATCTTCCAAATCGTCTCCGTCAATTGTGATTGGATTGGTGCATGCTGTGTTGGATCGGAGAATCCTGGTTTTCCCTTTGTGTATGTTGAGACCTACTGCTGCTGAGGCTGCTGCTGCTACACTGGTCGTCTTCTCCTGTATTTGTTGTTGCGTTTGGGATAGAAGGACCAGATCATCTGTGAAGTCTAGATCGTCCAACTGCATCCTCGATGTCCATTGTATCCCGTGCTTCCCTTCAGATGTTGACGTCTTCATGATCCAGTCGATCACCAGGAGAAAGAGAAAGGGTGAGAGTAAGCAACCTTGCCTAACACCGGTCTTCACTTCGAACGACTTTGTCAATTGTCCTCCATGCACGATTTTGCAGTGTTATCCATCATATGAACTCTGTATGATATTGACTATCTTCTGAGGCACGCCGTAGTGTCGAAGAAGTTTCCATAGTGTTGTTCTGTCCACGCGATCAAATGTTTTTTCGTAGTCAATGAAGTTGATGTAGAGTGATGAATTCCATTCAATTGATTGTTCCACAATGATCCGTAGAGTTGCGATTCGGTCTGTACATGATCGATCCTTACGGAATCCTGTCTGTTGGTCTCGAAGTTGGGCGTCCACGGAGTCCTTTATTCTGATTAACAATACCCTGTTGAAGACTTTTCCTGGTATTGAGAGAAGAGTGATGCCCCTGTAGTTATCACAGTTTCTGAAATCTAACATCAAATATTTAACTATATAGTTAGTGTATTAGTTACTCATTACGTAATAATATCACATTTGTTCGATTCTG